CCGAGAGTGTGGTAAGCTTAGAATTGTCCAAAAACATCTGCCGCCTCTCTCTGGGGGGAATTATGCTTCTCCATCCCATCAGTGTCACGCTTGACCGTGTGACTGCTCTTGCCAATGAAAGGTGAGCAGCAGCTCAGATTGCTGGCATAAGATTCACCATGTTCTTTTCCTCTGCCATGGGATTGGGGATATTTCCGATACAGACTGTCCCATTCATCATCCTGGTCCTGGGGCAGACAAAGGTGGGGCACAGCGACAGTTGACCCATGAGGACCATGTAAAGTGTAATGTGAGCAAGAAATAGAGCTTTGCTACCAAAAGCCACCGAGATTGCTGGGCCATTTGTCATTGCACCTGGCCTATACTAACTAGCCCATCATAGCCTCATGGATAAGGGGAGGGAGATAGCGGTCACTCTGGAGCAGAGAGACGGGAGACAAGGGCTGAGGTCAGGACACAGGGAAGTCTTGGGTGGATGAGGAGTATCTGAGGAAACTGGGGAGAAGAGAGGCAGAGAAAATTTTTACTAATTTATTTTTCTTCTTTTTTGAGACCAACTCTCTGTCACTTGGGCTAGAGCGTCATGGCATCAGTGGAACCTAAAAATCCTGGGTTCAAGTGATCCTCTTGCCCCAGCCTCCTGAGCAGCTGGGACCCACAGACACCTGCTGATTTTTCTTCTTCTTTTTCTTTCTTTTTTGTTTGAGGCGGAGTCTCACTTGGTCACCCTTGGTAGAGTGCCTTGGTGTCTCAAACTTTTGGGTTTAGGCGATCTTCTTGCCTCAGCCTCCCGAGTAGCTGGGAGTACAGGCACCCGCCATAATGCCCAGCTATTTTTAACAGTCGGGGGTCTCACTCAGGCTCAGGCTGGTCTCAAACTTGTGAGCTCAGGCAATCCACCCGCCTCAGCCTCCCAAGTGCTGGGATTACAGGTGTGAGCTACCAAGCCGGGCCCTTGATTTTTCTATTTTTAGTAGAGACGAGGGTCTCATGCTTGCTCAGCCTGGCCTCAAACTCCTGAGCTCAGACAATCCACCTGCCTCAGCCTCCCAGCATGCTAGGATTACAGGTATGAGCGCTTTGCAGGGCTGAAATGTTGCTAAGATTTCAACTTTGTCCCAGACCTCAGCCTTCACTGTCTACTCACTATAGAAAGTGCTCTGGCCTGCAGCTCACTGTCCTTTCTCAAATGGTGCTCGCCCAGAGCTAACTGCAGATTTTTCTGGGGAAGCTCCAGTGATTTACTGAAATACTCCCCAGTGTCTCGGCTTATAGATGTGTGGGTGCCCACCTCCCCTGCACGGTGTCAGTTGAACATCTCAGCTATGCACTGACAGACAGACTCCTTGGTCAGAAACGTCCTTTGGTGACCACAAGGGGACCAATTTCAAAGTCATTCAGATAGGAAAGGAAACCACAGAGCAAAAATACTTGACTTTATCACCCTGACTCAGGTCAGATAGTAGCTAACAACTTGCTGGAAAGGAAATGACTCAGCTGAGATCCTGTGGCTCGATAGTGTCTGGGAAGGAAAAGAGCTGCAGTTCTGGGCTAATGGGCCATAGGGCAAAGCAGTGAAGATCTTTCAGGCAGAGCAGGGTGGCAATGAACAGTGTGGGTCCAACAACCTGGCCTTGGGCAATCTACTTAACCAGCTGGCTTCAAGTGGAAAGAGAAAGAAAAGGAATGAAGTTATTCCTCTCTGAGCCTCAGTTTTTTCATCTGTAAAGTGGGTTTAAGAACACAGCCATAGGGGGCGGGGCCTCTGGCTCAGTGGGCAGGGCACCAGCCCCATATACCGAGGGTGGCGGGTTCGAACCTGGCCCTGGCCAAACTGCAACAAAAAAATAGCCAGGCATTGTGGCGGGCACCTGTAGTCCCAGCTACTCAGAAGGCTGAGGCAAGAGAATTGCCTAAGCCCAGGAGTTGGAGGTTGCTGTGAGCTGTGACAACATAGCACTCTACTGAGGGTAACAGAGTGAGACTCTGTCTCTAAAAAAGAGAGAGAGAACACATAGGGCCAGGCTCAGTGGCTTACACCTGTAATCCAAGCATTTGGGGAAGTCAAGGCAGGTGGATTGGCTGAAGTTCAGGAGTTTGAGATAAGACTAAGCGAGAGTGAGACCTCATCTCTTTCAAAAAAAAAAAAAAAAAAGAAGCAGGGCTTTGTGGTGGGCACCTGTAGTTCCAAATACTTGGGAGGCAAGAGGATTGCTTGAGCCCAAGAGTCTGAGGTTGCTGTGCTATGATGATGCCATAGCACTCTACTGAGAGTGACAAAGTGAGACTTTGCCCCCCCCAAAATAAAGAACACAGACATACCTTAGTTTATTGTACTTTGCTTTATTGTGCTTCACAATTTATGTTTTTTACAAATTGGCGATTTGTGGCGACCCCCAAGCCAAGCGAGTCTACCAGACCATTCTCCTAACAGCAGGTGCTCACTCCATGTCTTGGGGTCCCATTTCAGTCATCCGGCAATATTTCAAACTTTTTCATTATCATTGTATCTGAAAAGGTGATCTATGATCAGTGACCTTTTTTTTGTTCAAGACAGAGTCTCACTATGTCACCCTGGTTAGAGAGCCGTGGCAACACTGTTCACAGCAACTTCAAACTCTTGGGCTTAAGTGATTCTCTTGCCTCAGCCTCCCAAGTAGCTGGGACTACAGGTGCCTGCCACAATGCCTGGCTATTTTTTGGTTGGAGTTGTCACTGTTGTTTAGCAGGTCCGGGCCTTGTTTGAACCTGCCAGCCTCAGTTGAGCTACCTACTCACTGAGCTACAGGTGCCGAGCCTGTGATCATTGATCTTTGATGTTACTATTATTATTTTTCTTTTTTGAGACAGAATCTCACTCAATCACCCTGGGGTAGAGTGCTATACCGTCATAGCTCACAGCAATCTCAAACTCTTGGGCTCAAGCAATTCTCTTATCTCAGTCTCCTAAGTAGCTGGGACTATAGACACAGCCCAACACCCAACTATTTTTTAGAGATAGGGTCTCCCTCTTGCTCAGGCTGGTCTCCAACTCCTGAGCTCTGTTGATCCACCCATGTCAGCCTCCCAGAGTGCTGGGATTACAGGCTTGAGCCACTGCACCCAGTCTGATGTTACTATTGTAATTGGTTTGAGGCACCAAGAACTGTACCAATATAAGGCTGCACACTTAGCATTGTGTGTTCAGTTTGTTTCACTGACCAGCCATTCCCACTCTCCCCCCATCTCCTCGGCCTCTCTATTCCTAGAGACAGAACAATATTGAACTTAGGCCAGCTAGGAACCCTACAATGGCCTCTATGTCTTCAAGTGAAAGGAATAGTCTCATCTGAAATCAAAAGCCAGAAATGATTAAGTTTAGTGAGAAAGCCGCGTCAAAAGCTGACATGGGCCAAGAGCTAGACCTCTTGTGCCGCACAGCCCATAGTGAACGCAGAAGGAAAAACTCTTAAAGGAAATTAAAAAGTGCCAGTCCAGTGAACACATGAGCAATCAGAAAGTGAAACCGCCTTGTTGCTGATATGTAGAAAGCTGCAGTGGTCTAGATAGAGGATCAAACCAGCCGCAACATCCTCTTAAGCCCAAGAAGCCGCAGCCACAGCAAGACTCTTAACTCTTTTCAGTTCTACAAAGGCTGAGTGGAGGGAGGAAGCTGCAGAAAAAAAGTAAGAAGCCAGCAGAGGTGAGTTCATGAGGTTTAAGGGAAAGAAGTAACGTAAAAGTACAACAGGAAGCAGTGAGCGCGAACAAGTTAGCAGCTGCAGCAAGTTATCCAGATGGCGTAGGCTAAGATCACTGACGAAGGTAGATGCACCAAACAGCAGCTCTTCAATGTAGATGAAACAGCCTTCCATTGGAAGAAGATGCCGTCCAAGACTTTCATAGCTAGAGAGAGAAGAAGTCAGTGCCCGGCTTCAAAGCTTCAGCCATGACTCTCTTGTTAGGGACTAATAGAGCTGATGATTTTAAGTCGAAGCCAACGGTCCCTCTGAAAATCCTAGGGCCCTTAAGAATTACGTGAAATATATTCTGCCTGAGTTCTATGAATAAAAAAAAGTGCTTAGATGACACACCTATTTACAATATGGTTTACTGAAAATTTTAAGCCCACTATTGAGGTCTGCCGCTCAGAAAACAAAAAAATCCTTTCAATATATTACTATTCATTGACAATGCACATGGTCACCCAAGAGCTTTGATGGAGATGTGTAAGGAGGTTAAGGTTGTGTTTATGCCTTCAAACATAACATCCATTCTTTTTTTTTTTGAGACAGAGTCTTACTATGCTGCCCTTGGTAGAGTGCCGTGGCGTCACAGCTCACAGCAACCTCCAACTCTTGGGCTTACACAATTCTCTTGCCTCAGCCTCCCAAGTAGCTGGGACTACAGACGCCTACCACAACACCCGGCTATTTTTTGTTGCAGCTGTCATTGTCATTTAACTGCCCTGGGCTGGGTTTGAACCCACCAGCCTCAGTGTATGTGGCTGGCACCAGAACCACTGCTCTACAGGCACCAAGCCTCCAATTCTGAAAGGAGTTTCTCTGTTACCACCACCACCCAGCAGCCCAGAATATCAGAGCCCCTGCCTCTGAGCCACACTGGAGAAGCCTCATGAGATGGTTCATGATGTACTGGTGTTATTCTAAGGCCCAGCCACCAGACACTTCTGTCGCACACAGTCTGGATTGACCTAGACAGTCTGAACTCTACCGCACTAAGGCTGAGAGCAACCCTCCTCCTAGGCCAATCCAGCTCAGGTTTCCCCAACAGGGAACATGCACAGAGAACCCCACCCCCAGCCCCCAAACCTATCTCTTCCACCGCCTTCCTCCTGACATTAGGAGCATGCACTGTGTGGTTCTAGATCTCAGACCGGGAAGTCTAAAGCAACCCCTCCCCCCCTCCCCCAGCCCTACTCAGAACCAGCTAAACCAAGAAGAGTCCCACAGGATGGCAGTGGAGAGCATCCTCGGGGGGCCAGCAGGCAAGAAAGTCGGTCACAACCCCTTTATAAAACGGACTAGCACATTCATAATCTTCCTGGAGCTGGGGAAATGCAACCAGCCCATGTCAAGGGTGTTGAACACTCCATGAAAACCATCCTCCAGGTGGCACCAGGTCACTGGCACTCCCAAGTCTTCCAGCCTCTTCTTGTACAGCAGCGAATGGTCGCGGATGATGTCAAACTCACAGCTCACGATGCAAGCTTCAGGGAGCCGAGATATGACGTGATCTTCTGCAATCAGGGGCGAGCACCTTGGATCCAGAAGCAGATTTGTCTCCAGGTAAGCGTCTTCATTGAGGGGTGCAGGGGGCACTGGTCTGTATCCTCTCTTCTTAAACCTCTCTGGGATGTTTTCTGGTCCCAACCACTTGCGATATTTTTCCCAGACACTGGCAGGCAAATGAGCATTTTTCCTGATGGCGTCTTCCCAGGAAGGGCTGAAATCCAGGAAAGAAGCAAAACAGTAGAAGAGAAGACTCCATTGGACGAGTGGGACTTCTGCATTCTGCTGGAAGGAAGGGAGCTGGAAGTCCATGGCTTGGAACGCAGAGTAGATCAGAATCTGCGCACGAATCCGGGGCAGATCCGCACGGTCCACGAACTGCTGACAAATCACCGCTGCTATTGAGCCTCCCACACTGTCTCCGCAGAGCACGACACGGGTTGGATCCACCCCATACGCATTCAGGGACTTCAGGAAGTGGGTGGTGGCCACAATGCAGTCTCTTAGAGGCCCTGGGAACTTACCCTTGGGTACCTGGCGGTATCTAGAAAAGAACCAAGGGAGTCCGTTTACATGCACTAGCCCAGCAGAGCTCAAAATACCTGCAGCTAGCCTCTCTGGGCCCAAATTTCTTCCATTACCTTCCCTTCCTGAAAACTGAGCGGGTGAAGTTAGGTGGGAGGCATCAGGAGATGACAGATGGAAAGCCCTCATACCTGGCACTCAGGCTCAGTAAGTGGCAGCTGCTATTCCCACGGTCTCAGCGCTCTGTCAGGGGACCGGCTGAGACGCAAGACCTCTACCAATGACTTAAACATCACCAACACCAGTCCCGTCTGATGTCACCTCTCCCCTCATACCTGCTCCTGGCTTCCTGTTTCATGATTCTTTTATGAGCAACTTCCAGGCTTGCGTGGATTTTGATTGTAATGAATCCCGCCATGGCCACAGATCTGTGGGGGGAGCCTGTAGACTTAAGTACCGCAGGTCCTCAAATAATATTGGTTTTGTTTGACATTGTTTCATCATAAGAGAAAAAAAAAATCAATCCCCAGCCAGGGCCACTGCGTGTGCAGAGTCTGACCGTTCTTCCCGGGTTTTCTCCAGCTACGCCGGTTCCCTCCCATACCCTGAAGATGTGCAAGTTATAGTCACTGGAGTGTCTAAGTTGTCCTCATCTGAGTGAGCGTGGGTGTGAGTGTGCCCTGCCAGGAGACGGCCTCTGGTCCAGGATTGGCTCCTGCCTTGGGCTCTGAGCTGCCAGGAGAAGTTCCAGCCACTCAGGAGTCTGAAGTGGGCCAGAGGATGAATGAATGAAAAAAAATGACTATAAAATAAAAATGCATAAAGTCTACATAATCATACCCGACTATACACAATACACTATGAAGGTGTCCACAGAGCCCACCTCATTTGGGGTGGTTTGTTTGTGAACTCCGTGGGAATGGGAAGTGCTCAATTTTCCCTTTGCAAATATTTAGTCCTTGATTGAACCTACCGGTACTACCACCGCCATCACTCACCAATTCACCAAAAGTGGAGTAACTAACTATCTCACTTTGATTAATCTTTTTTTTTTTTTTTTGAGATAGAGTTTCACTTTATTGCCCTCAGCAGAGTGTCATAGCCTTCATAGCTCACAGCACTCTCCAATTCCTGGGCTTAAGCAATTCTCTTGCCTCAGCCTCCCAAGTAGCTGGGACTACAGGCGCCCGCCATAATGCCTGGCTATTTTTAGAGCTGGGGTGTTGCTCTTGCTTAGGCTGGTCTCAAACCCATGAGCTCAGGCAATCCACCCGCGTCAGCCTCCCAGAGTGCTGGGATTACAGATGTGAGCCACTGCACCCGGCCCTGATCAATCTTTCTTAAATGTATGTACAGCTGACATTTATTTCAATGTTTAATATTACGAGTCTTTGGTCTTCATTTAAGAGTTTAGTAATTTTTGTGTGTGTGTGCAGTTTTTGGCCAGGGCCGGGTTTGAACCCACCACCTCCGGTATAGGGGGCCAGTGCCCTACTCCTTGAGCCTCAGGCACTGCCCAAAAGTTTACTAATGTTTTTGTGACCAGAAATATGCTATAGGAACTTAACTCTCGTTTATGAATTTGTCACCTCACCTATGGTAAAATTGGTTTCGCTTAAATTCCAAGCACCTGCCAATGACATTAAACAAGGACCGTGGAGGAAAGATAGCACTCTTCCAAATCAGCTGGGCCACTCGAGGCCACTGCTGCCAGGCCAATCTGGCATTGCTATAGACCTTCCCATTTTCTCCAGAGATTCCAGAAATCCAGATTTTGTGCAAAATGTCATCATCTTTTCTTTTTTATTTTTTGAGACAGAGTCTCACTCAATCACTTGTGAGACAGTGCCGTGGCGTCATGGCTCACAGCAACCTCAAACTCCTGGGCTCAAGCCGTCCTCTTGCCTCAGCCTCCTGAGTAGCTGGGACTACAGGTGCCCACCACAACACCCGGCTGTTTTTAGAGATGGCATCTTGCTCTTGCTCAGGCTGGTCTAACCTCATGAGGTCAAGCAATTCACCCATCCCAGGCTCCCAGAGTGCTAGGATTACAGGCGTGCACCACCGCGTCCAGCCAAAATTTCATCATTTTTAAATGCTGGCTACAAGATTTGTTTTTAAAGGAAACATGCTATGAGACCAACAAGGAAATTTTCTCCCAGCCATTTCCATTCTGGCACCTTCCAGGCCACCCTGGAGTAGTCAGTGCTGGGACAGCAAATGCTTTTTGGCTCCAAAATCCTGTCTACTTTGGATTCAGAAAATAACCTTCTAGCAGAGATTTGCTTGCCTGTTCTACTGATGTTCTCCTGATTTGGCACAACTGGAAGGGTAAGGTGTGCAGTGCCAGCGACTGGATTGAGATTTCCATCCCAATGCAGAGATCACACTGGGCCCAGAACTGTATGTCTAGTTTCCCTCCCCACCATCGTTACTTATGTCTTTATTTACTTATTTATTTTGAGACAGAGCCTCAAGCTGTCACCCTGGGTAAAGTGTCCTGGCATCCCAGCTCACAGCAATCCCAACTCCTGGGCTCAAGCGAGTCTCCTGCCTCCGCCTCCCCAGTAGCTGAGACTACAGACGCCCACCACAACGCCCGGCTATTTTTTGGTTGCAGCGTCATTGTTGTTTGGCGGGTCCGGGCTGGGGATTCGAACCCGCCACCTTAGGTGTACGTGGCTGGCGCCTTAGCCACTTGAGCCACAGGCGCTGAGCCTATGTTTTTATTTTTTACTCTCCTCAACTAACTGTGCCACAAGAAAGTTGGGAAATGTATCCCCACCAAGACGTTGGCAACTGGTATTTCTTTACTACATGTGTATTTCTTAATTTATTTTTTTATTTTTTACTGAGATAGAGTCTCACTCTGTTACCCGAGGTAGAGTGCCATGGTGTCATCACAGCTCACAGCAACCTCAAACTCCTAGGCTCAAGCCATCCTCCTGCCTCAGCCTCCCAAATGGCTATAACTACAGGCACCCGCTACAAAACCCAGCTAATTTTTTTTAGTTTTAGTAGAGATGGGGGTCTTGCTCTTGCTCAGGCTGGTCTTGAACTCCTGAGCTCAAGCAATCCACCTGCCTCAGCTTCCCAGAGTGCTAGGATTACAGGTGTGTGCCACCGCATCAGGCCACTGTGTGTGTATTTAAGAGAAACTAAAGGAAGAGCTCAGTCAGGAGGATCACCTGTGTGATGAAGTGTCAGCAAGACAGGAGGCCCAGGGAGGACCCAGCCCACGTCTCCCTCTCTATTCAGTGCCCACCACACCCTCTCTGCGGCTCTAAGCACTTAGGAATAAAAAGGGCAGAGTTTGGGGTTGTCCTGGGGATGAACCCGGGCACCACAGGCATTGAGCAGAGGGAGATGGTAAGTGTTCGGAATGTGCAGGGCTGCTCTGTCCAAAGAAGAGCTATGCCACCCAAAAGTGTCCCCAAGGTGGAAGTTCTGCACTTGATCTGCTTCCACAAGACCCCTTCCCACCCAGCTTCCAAATGGGAGGCCGCACAAAACAACTCTATGGAACACACCCAAGGGTCGTGGCACAAGGAAGCAGTTCCTCGGTCCTCCTTCTCCTTCCCTCCTCCTCCTCCCCTCCTTTCTCTCCCCTGCTCCTAGTCTCCCTTCGGCTCCCACCTGCCCTCCAGCCTTACTCCCCACCCCACATCTCCCCAAATCAGAGCCCGGCTCCCTGCCACCTCTCCGCCCCTCTCCCCTTTACTCACCCAACTGACAAAACCACAGAGTCACTCTCCTTGGACAAACAACAGCATATGCCATGGTGGGTTTCTGGAAAATAAAGTTTTTTAGCATTCACTAGGAGGCTTGCTTTGCCAGCCGTGTGTCCTACAGACAGGGCGCGTGGGTCCACCCTGACTAGATTTCCCTCTGCCTTTTCATTGATTCATCTCAGTGGTGCTAAGTGAACAACTCTCCCGAAGATACACACCCCACCCCAACAAATTCTACAGTTCACCAAAAATATCTCAGAAACTTTGTAGAACGGTGGTTTAGGGTGTGAACTCCGGATTCAGATAGATTGGAGTTCAAATCCTGGCTTTACCTCCATTTATTTATTTAAGTTGAGACAGAGTCTATGTCACCCTCGGTAGAGTGCTGTGGCATCACAGCTCACAGCAACTTCCAACTCTTGTGCTTAAGCGATTCTCTTGCCTCAGCCTCCCAAGTAACTGGGACTACAGGTGCCCACCACAATGCCCGGCTATTTTTGTTGCAGTTGTCATTGTCATTTAGCTGGCCCAGGCCGATTCGAACCCGCCATCCTTGGTGTATGCGGCTGGCTCCGTAACCACTGTGCTACAGGCGCCAAACCTTTACCTCCTGTTAGTTGGAGCTAAAATAATGCCCAGCAAGTCACTGAACCTCTCTAAGTCTTGATTTCCTCACCTGTAAGGTAGGGATAATGACAATATCTACCTTGTTGGGCTGTTTGGGGCTTAAATGAGATAATCCATACAGTGCCTGCCATGTAAGTATTAATATTGATAAATATCAATTAATAAATATCGGTAATTAATAAATAGTGTCATATAGACTGAACCAAAACCGCCATTGCATTAAACCCCTTATTCTCAAAGTCAGCTACACTGGGACCTTGACACTGGACAGATTAGAAAACATTACTAAGAGTGGCGCCTGTGGCTCAACGGAGTAGGGCGCCAGCCCCATATGCCAGAGGTGGCGGGTTCAAACCTAGCCCCAGCCAAAAACTGCAAAAAAAAAAAAGAAAAAGAAAGCACTACTAAAACCAAATAAAGGTGTTTCCCCCGTAAGTTGCAGAGAAGCAAATTAAGATAATAAAATTGTCTCGAGTTTTTCTTCTCATTAATTTTTTGCAAATATTCCTGTTAGGCTGCGCCAGAATTTGTCTCCTGAAATTCCTGATATGGAACAAAGTGTTTTGATTATTTTCATTTAAATACCCTAGGCTGGGTGGCTCACACCTGTAGTCCCAGCACTTTGGGAGGCCGAGGCAGGAGGATTGCTTGAGGCCAGGAGTTAGAGACCAGCCTGGACAACAAAGTGAGACCCCACCTTTTAAAAAAAAAGTTTCTAATTGGCTGGGTGTGGTGGTACATGCCTATAGTCCCATTTTCTCTGGAGGCTGAAGCAGGAGGATCATGGCAGCTCAGGAGTTTAAGGCTACAGTGAGCTATGATGATGTCACCGCACTCCAGCCTGAGTGACCAGGCAAGACCTCATCTCAAAAAATAAAAAAGTAAAAATAAAATAAAATATTCTACTTCCCACTAGAATATTTGTGTTATACAACATGCATTAAATACCACTGATGCTATCTTTCTATTTTTATTTTTTATTTATTTATTTTGAGATAGAATCTCACTTTGTCACCCTGGGTAGAGTACTGTAGCATCATAGCTCACAGCAACCTCAAACTCGTGGGCTCAAGGGATCCTCTTGCCTCAGCCTCCCAAGTAGTGAGACTACTGGTCCCTGACACCACATCCAGCTAGTTTTAGAGGCTGGTCTCAAAATCCTGAGCTCAGGCGATCCCCCCACTGATACGAGTCTAAAATGATGAATTTTATGTTCTGTGTATTTCATAATACATACATATTAATACTTCTATGCATACACATATGTATATGTATACAGGTAAGAATACATTTACAGTATCCTTACATGACAGCATCCTTAGTTACACTGAAGTGAAGATTACATTCATATGATGGCACACATTTCATATTTTTGCCTCTTGAATGATCTGGAAACCATTAGCTGCCCTGGTGGTCCCTGGTTATAATAGGAGACAGTAAGCCTCAGGAAGATGACCACTCTTTTAGGTTAAGAGGCAAGCCGCACCCTCCCAGAGGTCGGCGGAAAGGCGCTCTTACTCAGGCTCCCCATAACGCCCCCGCCCCCGTGGAAGAACACAATGCCAGGCCGGGGGGTGCAGAGGGAGGACTTGGGCTGGTACAGCTTCACCGGGACAGTCCCAAAGTGGAGATCTGTGACCACGATATCCGGGTCCGTCTTCAGTGGCTTCAGATCGTGCATGAAACGGATAAACTCGGGCATGGAACAGATTCTCAGCTTCTCAAAAATTTTCCCCTGTTGGAGAAAGGAGAGGAGAGGAGTCGAGAAGGGTATCCACCTGGGCTGGAGTCCGCTGCCACATCCGCCCTCCACAGGTGGCAAGAGGAGTCTTGGGAAGTTGCAGCCCAGTGGGACTGCAGCCCTGGCCGACCCCTCAGTGCCGCCACCCAAGCCCATGTGGGCCCATCTCACCGGCTCTCCCTGACATCTTATACCCCCGCTGCAACAAACCAGCCTCCTGGCCACCCTTGACAGTGCCTCTACCTACCTGGAACCTCTCTGCCAGAGCCTGCTCCTCCTGGGCCTCGACCCCTCTACTTTCGGGGGGGCCTTCCTGAGCCATCTCAGCCAACCTGACCACCCCCAAATATCTGTAGCTGTTTTTTTTTTTTTTTTATAAAGGCCAAAGGGGGAATTCATATCTTTTGAAGATACTCACTTAAATATTTTTTAACAAAATAATACAAGGTCCCAGATTTGCTTCTTCTTTTCTTTTTTTTTAACCATTTTATTTCATTTATTTATTTATTTATTGAAACAGAGTCTCACCATGTCACCCTCAGTAAAGTGCTGTAACATCACAGCTCACAGCAACCTCCACCTCTTGGGCTCAAGTGATTCTCCTGCCTCAGCCTCCCGAGTAGCTGGGACTACAGGCGCCCGCCACCACGCCCGGCCATTTCCTGTTGCAGTTGTCATGGTTGTTTACTGGCTGGCTGGATTGGAACCCGCCAACGGTGATGTATGCGGCTGGCACCATAATAACTGTGCTACTGGTGCTGAGCCCTAAATTTACTTCTTAAGAAAATGAGATGAGGGGAAGGTGGTGGCACAGAGGAAAGAAGCTTGCCCAGGAGTTGGTGACATCAATGCCACAATGCAGGTGCACAGGCTTTCCTTACACCCTTGGGTCTTCTTTGGCATACCTCTAAAGTTTGCACAATAAAAAATAAATTGGCTTGGTGCCCAGCGTTCAAGCAGCTAAGGCGCCAGCCACATACATTGGAGCTGGTGGGTTCGAAGCCAGCCTGGGCCTGTCAAACAACAATGACAACTACAACCAAAAAATAATAATAATAATAATAATAGCTGGGCCTTGAGTCCCAGCTACTTGAGAGGCTGAGGCAAGAGAATCGCTTAAGCCCAAGAATCTGAGGTTGCTGTGAGCTGTGACAAAACAGCACTCTATTGAGGGGGACAGCTTGGGACTGTCTTAACAAAAATTTGTTTTTAATAATAATAAACAAACAAAGTGAGCACTCCCTCTCTGGCCAGTGGGTTCTAATCCTTGTTCTGGCCATTGGTGAAGCCTGAGGACCTTATCTCAGGACATTTTTTTTTTTTTTTTGAGTCTCACTTTGTCTCCCTCTATGAGTGCCATGGTGTCATATCTCCAGCAACCTCAAACTCCTAGGCTCAATTGTTCCTCTTGCTTCAGCCTCCCAAGGAGCCACAGGCACCTGGCTAGTTTTCTATTTTTAGTAGACATGGGGTCTTGCTCTTGCTCAAGCTGGTCTTAAGCTCCTGAGCTCAGCCAATCCATCCACCTTGGCCTCCCAGAATACTAGCTCAGAACATTTTGAATACACAAAGTACCTGGGATTCTAAGGGAAGGCAATTTTCTTTATGCTTATCAAAACATTGAAATAGTGTGTGATGTAGTAATAGATGGGCTTCCTTATTAGCACATCAGGTAAGAAGATCTAGCCACCAGTCTGATACCGCCCTAGTTTCAAAGATTCCTAGGAGAATACGAGATTTTCCTTGATATCTACAACAATCTACTATGTTGGGCAAATATCCCTGACTCCTCTTGACGACAAAGTCACAGTCTTGCTATCCCGGTCATGGTTTGTTGACTTCATTCCTAACGGAAGGAAATGCTACTTTTCAATTTGAGGTTAGTAATGAACAACGGGGTAATTTTGACGCCCCCAGCCAAGTTCCTGGGCCCTTTGCATTCTGTCCCCTCTGGGGCCCAGGTGAGAAGCCTGCTCTGCCCCGCTGCCCAGTTTTGTCTTTCTTGTTGCATTGGCCACTCTGTAAAGCTGCTTATTTGTAGCTTGTCTATTTGTGGGTTTCCTGGCCACCTCTCCGCCCCACCCCCGCCCCGCTGCCGTGAGACTACAAGCTTCCTGAAGGCGGACACCGGTCTGGGACTTTATTCCTCTCACCTGCCATCATTGACCCTAAGAGTCCAGATGTGGTGCATGACACCTAGCAGTCACCTACCACATCCTTGCATAGAAAAATAAATGAATCAACAAACAGCAGCAGTGGCTGGGCGCCGGCCCCATATACCGAGGGTGGGAGGTTCAAATCCAGCCCCGACCAAACTGCAGCAAAAAAATAGCCGGGCATCATGGCAGGCGCCTGTAGTCCCAGCTACTCAGGAGGCTGAGGCAAGAGAATCGCTTAAACCCAGGAGTTGGAGGTTGCTGTGAGCTGTGTGACACCACAGCACTCCACCAAGGGTGATAAAGTGAGACTCTGTCTCTACAAAAATAAATAAATAAATAAGTAAATATAGCAACAACAGCTTATATTTCTGGAAGACTCACTCCATAAATACTCCGTCGTATAATATACCAGCTTAATATACGACGCTGGTATATTAAGCCAGGCGTCGTAATATACCCTTCGGATAACTTAATTTGTAGAGTCCCCACCAAATGCCCCTTGGGAACCCAGACTGTAGACTGTGAGAATCAAGGCCAGGAAAACCTCAGGGCCCAACCCTCACATCTTGTCAAAGCAGACCCTGGAGGGGACCCCCCCCGGCCCCCATCCACACTTTCTCATGAGAAGAGGTATTTGCCATCCATCCTCATTATGTAAGAAACTCAGGAAAAGCATTTTCTATATTCAACTTCTGACAATCCTCTGGAAAAGTGCAGTGAATCCATACTGGCAACAGTGCCTCAGTTCTTACCATGATTTATTAACTTCTATCCTAATAAATCGCACACACTGGGAACAAGAAGCAGAATCCAACTGTATTACCTACACAGTTTCCCATCTCTCAAAAGCAACCAAATTTTTTCTTGGAACCAGATCCTGTTGTTTTTCTCGCCTGCACTAATGTACTACTTGTTTCTTTATTTTGTGGGTTTCTGGCTCTAGCTAGCAGGTAGATAGAAAATGGGGCCCACAGCTCGGCACCATGCTCAGTGGTTAGGGCGCCAGCCACATGCACTGGGACTGGTGGGTTCAAACCTGGCCTGGGCCTGCTAAACAACAATGACAAAAAAATAGCCAGACATTGTGATGGACGCCTATAGTCCCAACTATTAGGGAGGCTGAGGCAAGAGAATGGCTTCAGCCCAAGAGTTTGAGGTTGC